TGTGAGTGTTCGCAGAGCCGCCTCGGTGGCCGGCCAGGCCCATGCTGGGGCTTTCTCCCCGTGCGGTGAAGGCAGGCTTTCAGGAAGAGAATAATCTCTGCCTTTGTGGACGGACTCAGCCTTTCTCTTCCCCGTCCCCACCCCGGTAAACACACACCAGCTAGCGACCCTTCACCTTTTAAGGTCAGTCAGGGATTCAGTCAGCTGAGGTTCCGGCCCCACGGCGGGGTCCCTCCTCCGTCTCAGGGACTCGGTGTGTCTTGATACCACCTCCTAGATGTGACCAAACTAGGCCATTATGTGGGTGTGGGAGGACTCCACTTGCCAGAATTTGTGTGTGAATCAACTGCTTCTTAATAAATGGAACTATCGTTGGAAGCTAAGTGTGGATAGGAGAAAGTGTGCCCCCAGTCCTTATCTAATGGGAAATATCGCCTCGTAATTTGTAGTATTAGTTACTGCTGAGAGGACTTTTTCATTACTGTTATTATTATCATCATTATTCTCATTTCACCTGGTACGTCAGCTACTACATTATTCCCTTTGTACAGCCGTGCCTCATCCTTCAAGGACTGTTAGGAAGTGAAATACCTGTCTAAGTACCCCGACTTGTTTAAATTGTTACCATTTTTAGTGGAAAACAAAAAAGACTTACCCACTCCAAGTGAAGCTGACTCTGGCTCAGGTGATATTCCCGTCTGAGGAGAACGCCCCTCCTCGCTCAGAAGCGGAAGGCGCACCCCTGCCCTTCTTCCCCCAAGCACACGCGGCAGCCAGTCCTTGCCTTGCCCTGACAGTCAGGGGCAGAGGGAAGAAACTAAGGGGAAACGGGCATTCAAGTTCATTTGCTCTGGAACTGTAATCCGTGTTCTCACGGTTCTGGGTCCCTAGACCCAGTAGTCTGTGTTCTGAAGTAAACTCTCAGCCTTTGCTGCCAAGGAAGTTCTTTAGGGGTTATAAATGATAATCTTCCCACCATGCTCTCCTCTCCCTCCCTGACTCCACAGCTGTGTTCCCAGGAAGGTGTCTGGGAAAGCCAGAGGTCATGCTGTTGCCAAGTTTTGTTGTCCCTGGTCCTCCAGTTTGTCTCTTTCCCTGTGAGGAAAGTGTTAGCTTCCCTGGCTGGGATGAGAGCCTCTGCATCCGTGTGTGATTTCCAGCTCCCTGATGACGTTATCACCCTCTGGGCAACTTCCCAGCCCCAGCCTTACCAGCTCTCATTTACCTACTGGGTGGGTTCTGAGCCTGGTCCTTGACTATCTGGGCAGGTCAGCTTTCCCCCAAAGACTCTGCAATGCTCCACCCTTCCTGACTGCCTCCCTCCTTCTTTACCTCCTCAGAATGTTGTCGTTTTGTGGGGTGGAGGAGAAAGGAGACAATCATGGCAGTCTGTAACCAGAGAAGTTAAAATTAGAAGACCTTGAACAGTTTGGAGTGTTCTCGTCAGTAAAATAGAGATAATAATTCACAGTATGAGGATCTTGGTGAAGGTTAAATGATGTAACATATGTAATGTGTAACCCTCTAGTGGAGGGAGAGAAGGAGGGAAGGTGGGGAGAGAGAGAGAGCGAGAGTTTCATGACTGATTAGATGTAGGAAATGTGTCAAGTCAAAAAATAACTCCAGTGTTTTAGTCTTTGATGCTAAGAGAAAATGGTTATTAGCAAAGATCGGAAAATGAGTATCTTTTTAATGATGAATTCAGTTTTGAGATAGACATTCTGTTGCCATCTTAAAAGGAGCCCTGGTGGTGCAGTGGTCAAAGCACTCAGCTGGTAACCAAAAGGTTGGTGGTTCGAACCCACCAGCCGCTCCACAGGAGAAAGATGTGGCAATCTGCTTCCGTAAAGATTTACAGCGTTGGAAACCCTATGGGGCAGTTCTCCTCTGTTCTGTAGGATAGCTATGAGTTGGAATCGACTCGGCGGCAGTGGGTCGCCATCTTAAACTCAGCAGGTAGAAACATCCAGTAGGTCACTAGGGAGACAGTGTAAAAGAAACCACGTTTGGAAGAGTTTACAATCATAGATTTGGGTTCACGTCTTGCCTTTGCTACTTACTAGTTGGAAGATCTCAGTTTCCTTCTATGTAGCGTGGGAATGTTAACCCCTCTCTCAGAGGATTGTTTGGAATATTAAGCGAAGCAACCTCCACAAATCCAACAGCTCATTGTCTTGTATATAGTAAGTGCTCAGTCGAAGTACTGATTCCGCATCCAGTGGTAGGCAGAGCCCGGAACGTGAGTGAAGGAAAAGGACTGGAGACCCCGGGGGTGGGAGTCTTTAGCGATATTTGGGATCAGGAGAATCAGCGAACTGCCCAGAGAGTGCTGTTCTGTTGGGGGAATAGCTGTCATTAGGACAAGGAGGAAATAGCATCTGAGATGGGTGGACGGTAATGTATCGATATACAGTGAGGACAGAGAGAAGACACTGGACTGGACAATTGGACGCCAAGGCTGACCTCCATTGTGCTGAGAAGGCCATTTCTGTGGATCAATTCAAAAACAGACACTGTGACTATGACTCTTTCTTGTTCTTTGTAAGAGGTAAACAACAGCTTATTAATAGTCCTTCTGTTTTGTTCAACTGTGCTTAACATTTTTCAGAGAGAAACTAACATCTTGGCCTCTTTCAGTAGGTGGATATCTACTGGGGTTAAAAACAAACCAGCAAGCATACCGGGGAACAGTTGTCCATTTATTTCCTCTGGGGCCTCGGTTTTCTATGCAGAGTAATTTTTGTGAGGCCCTGAAAGAATAACCAAGCTCAACAAGGAGGGAAGGTGAGAGCTGGGGAGGGGTCCCCAAGGAATCTCTGTCTGGTTGGAAGTAGACTGTGGGCATCAGTGACAACCCAGTGAGTAAGACTGTGGCCAGTGTTGCTGTTTCCTCTCTCTTTTCTGCTTTGCCACAAGAGGAGAAAGATGTGGCAAGGGTTGAGGTGATTTTGTAGAATTGGAGCTGCATATGATGTGGTTCTGAGAAAGCCAAATATATAGATAGTTCTCTTTGTAAGACAGCATGGCGAGCAAGCCTTTCTCACCCCTCTTTCTGAAGCGTTGAGTCCATCCATGACATTGGTGAGCTCTTCTGTGGTGGCCCCCTTCCTGGCTGATTTGTGAAGATTGCTTTTCCCACAGCCTCTTAGAATTTGCTTTCTACCCAAGGACCTGTGTCTTCCTCAGAAAAAACATTAAACAATTTAACCAAAAAAAAAAAAAAAAATTTTTTTTTTTTTTTTTTTTGCCAGTAGAAAATGAATGTTTTCTAGAGGGAATATTTATTTCTTATTTTTAATCTGTCATTTTCATTCTTGAAGAGATTTTACCACTGGTGTTTTTTTAATGCATTCCTCTTTGTAATTTCATTCAAGCTGTTTGTCTACTATAATAATCTCATTTAAAAAATCTTTTAATTGTGGTAAAAATATATATAACAAAACAGTTGCCCACTCAGCATTTTTCACATGTTCAATTCAATGACGTTGATGATGTTCATCACCTTGTAGAGCCATCACCCTATCCAAATTCGACAGTTTTTACAAAGGAAATTTAAAATGGCGTCCACCTTGTTTCCTTCTCTTGAGGAGCCATCTGTTCCCTTTTCTCATCCTAGTTTTGACGTTTGAGCAGGTGGCCTTTCCAGACACCCTCATTGAGAATTGTCTCTTCCCCATGTTCAAACTCCCCCAAGAAGTGATGAACTCCTACGGAGAGTTCAGGGCCCCAGTCTTACTCAGCTCAGCACTGACCCCTGCCGCCGGCCCCCTCCTTGCACAGTGAGTAGGGTGCATGAAGTGTTTAGAGGGAAGGGAGAATCTGCCAAGAGCTTGTTGTGTAATATTTGCTGTTATTTCATATGAGGTAGCTTCTTTGCCCCGGCAATTGTGAACTATGATAGATACCCTTCCTCCCCTCGTCTCCCCTGGCAAATTCAACATTGATTCGATACAGTTCAAATGGCACTTTCTCCGGAAAGTCATTTCTGTCTCTCCTAGGACAAATGAGTCATTCTCCCTTTGCTAACACCCATTCAGTGTGTTTATGTATTGACTTGTGGGCACACTGATCATTTTGCCAGTCGTTATCAGGCATCCTTCAACAACTGTGAGCTCCCCCAATGCAGCCATCTATGGGCCTCCCATCCAGCCCCAAGTCCAGAATTTGTCACATAACCAAACACACAGGAGATCCCACTAAAGAAATATCAAATGAAAGGAAGCCCTGCCGCCCACAGGGTGTTCAGATGCCTCCCCTGTGTTAAACTGTAAACCCAGTGAACAGATAAGGGCCACAGCTTCATCCATCCAGGGAGGCCACGGGGCCAGGTGGGTCCTCCTGTTGATAACATGTACTGTGCTCAAGGTTAGTCCATCCCACCCACTTCCTCTTTAGTATACCTGTGATTGGTCATCAAAATGTAACTTATCTATTGAATGTGGGAGACCAATATTACATGGAAACTGAGAAGTTTATGGACAAAAAGTAATTTAGTTGACTTGAGAATTTATGATAATGTGACCTAGCCATTGCATGATATTTATTTCTTCCACTTTTTAAACTGTCATATAATTTACAAAACAAGTCTATAATGTTTCTATCTCATTGCTTATTTTCATTGATAAATTCTATAAAACAATAAGGTTAAAAGAGCTATTAAAGACAGTAATTTATTGAGTTGTATTCTAGACATGTTACTCACTAGACATGTGTTATTATTGCTATTTTTAATCCTCGCAGCAACTCTTTGAGTTCGGTCTTAGTTTTCCCATTTTACAAATGAGAAAACAAGCTTAGGTAACATTCCCCCAGTTCATTAGCTTGTAGGTGGTAAAGTTGGAACTTGGATCCAGATCTATTGGTATCAAAACTTTCCTCTGTTCTGCTCGTTCTGCTGCATTTCATTTGAGAATATTTGGGAAATTAGTGGCTTCAAAGCAACAAACAAAAATCCAGGAGAAGACAAATTAACCTTATAGTTGTGTGTTTTGTGTTTGCAGGGAAGCAAGGGTGCCTACCGCTACCACTGGCAGAGCCACAATGTCAAGCACAGTGGCGTGGACGACATGGTGCTGCTCTCCAAGATCTCGGAGAATGCCATTGTGGAGAATCTAAAAAAGAGATACATGGACGACTACATTTTTGTATCCTTTATGGGTGTCTTTGGACATTTCTGAGTTATACGATAACGTCCACGGTACGATGTGGCTTTGCTACTGAAGTAAAGAGCTCCATCTGAAATTCTGAACCGATGATACGGGCTCACGTCGTTTTCATCATTTCAGAAGGAAGTTTTGTACGTTTTTGCCACTTGGTTGAGGCTGTGGGAAGGGCGAGGATGACGCTAAATGAGTCTCCTGGATTCCACAGAAGTCAGGATGCAGCCAGTATCCTGCCGTTTAACCTATGACACTGTGTGCACGTGGAATCTAACTATGTCTGCAGTTTCTAGAGAAAACCCTCACTTGCAGAGAGAATTTTATTGCTAGCGTGTCCTGATCGGAAAACGGAGACATTTAAGCTTAGACTTAAAAGGCTTAGAAAAGATTGTCTCGTGCAAAAAAAAAAAAAAAAATGCAATTTTGCCAGTTTTTCTGCATTCTTATGTTTACTAGAGGAAATAAGAGATGTGCATAGCAACTTTGAAAATACCTGACGTTCCTGAGGGATTTTTATGTTTCAGTTGTATCTTGCCAGGTGTCTTTTTTTTTAAAAAAAAAATAGGGGTTTAAAAAATTCAGCATGGAAATTTGATTCAAATGTGTGTTGACTTCATTACAAGCAGAGAATGGCAATGTTTGCTTAAGTTCCTGTAGGATCCAAGAGTTTTGTTGGTGCAACTATGTAAAGATGTTTTAGTGGAATTACTGTAGAGTTAATCAAAGATGTGCAAAGGTGTGTGTACAATCTACATGGCAGTGGCAGAAAGTTTAGCTGTGATGTTCCTTATGACTTCTGAGAGTATGATTTTATGGATGGTCCATTAAAAGCTGGAGTTCACCTACTGAGGTAAAATGTTTTTGTTCGTTGCTGTTGAGTCAGTTCCAACTCATGGCGGCCCCATGTGTGCAGAGGACAACTGCTCCATAGGGTTTTTAAGGCTGTGACCTTTCTGAAGGAGATCACCAGCCCTGTCTTCCGAGGCACCGCTGGGTGGGTTCGAACTGCCAACCTTGCAGCTAGCAGTCAAGCACTTAAGCATTTGCACCACCCAGGAATTCCGACTGATGTAGCATATGTTTTAGATTTTAACCCAGAAAACTCCAGGAGAACTGAGTGGGCAAGGGGAGGAATAGTGATCTCACTGATGGGTTTCACACCATTTATTCTGGCTGTTAGTTGAAAGCACTCAAACCTGTGTGACAGCTTGGCCGGGACCACCTGTTCCATCACAGGTGAGCGGAAAGGTCAACTCAACAAGGATTTATTAAGCAATATGAATTAACAACATTATCCCGCAGACACTTGGACCATTCTGACTGATACGGTGCCGTCTCTCACCTACCGTAGAGGACTTTTAGCATGTATCTGGGTAGCCAAGCCTCTGAACCCCTTTTAAGGGTTGACAGATATATTTGGTTTTGTTAGTTACATTATAATACCATCTTGATCGGGGGCAACCTGCTGCCTGCAGCCAGAATCCTGCCCACCCCCGTTTTTGTAACGAAGTTGTTATTGGAACACTGCCATACCCGTTCGTTTACATGTTGTCTACGGCAGCTCTCATGCAGAGGGTTGAGAACATAGCTGCATCAGACCGTATAGCTACAAAGCCAAAAATACTTACTATCTGGCCCTTCACAGAAAAATGTGGCAACCACTGCTTTGGATATCTATTCAGGGCTCCATGTAAGTTAACTGTACAGAAGCAGTTGTGTTCAGGTGTAAATTTTTATTGTGTTTGGTCAAAAAAGTCAAAATATGCTCACTTTAGCGGGGCTTCTCCCTGGTGGCACAGTGGTTAAGTGTTCGGCTGCTAACCTAAAGGTCAGTAGTTCAAATCCACCAGCCGCTCCTTGGAAACCCTATGGGGCAGTTCTGCTCTGTCCTATAGGGTCACTATGAGTTGGAATTGACTAGACGGTAACGGGTTTTTGGTTTTTTTTTAAATCATCATCAAAAAATTTGAAGCACCTTTATGTACAAGACCCTGTCGCGTGGTAACTGGCAGGAGATAGATTATAAAGAGTGAGTGGCAGCATGTGGATCTAGTCTGCTTGGGTTCAGACTGTGCTCAGCCATGGGCTTGGTGATCTGTGTGCCTTGGTTTCCGCCTCTGTAAAATGGGAGTGATAATAAAACCTTCCTCATGACGCTCCAGTAGAGTTAAGTGAAACAGTGACTGCAGTAAGTGCACAGTAAGCATTAGGTATTATTATCACTACCTTCGATGAGATGGCTTGACACGGTGGCTGCAACAGTGAGCTCAAACACAGCATCAATTATGAGGATGGCTCAGGTCCAGGCAGTGTTTCTTTCTGCTGTACACGGGGTCACTATGAGTCGGCACTGACTGGACGGCACCTGACAACAACATATTATCGTACGCTAGGGCAAGTGTATTACTTCCTCCCGTATGTCTGAGATGTGTTCCAGAAATTCAATTGCATAGTTGCTTATTGGAAATTTGAACGCATTTTTACCATAGAAACTGTTTTAAATGGAGGACTGGTTTATTGACAAGCCCATAAAAGTCTAATTTCCAGTGAATGTAGTTGAACTAATTATTCATTGGAATATTCTTGGAACATAGGCTCAACTCATTATATTATTTTCATAGAAAGGTGGTTTTTGATGAGCTGGGTAAAAAAGGAAACAATGACTTGTAGTCACCAACTGTCAGTCTATCCTCAATCCAGAGCGTGTCAGTCCTCCCGATAAAAACTATTGTTGTTCATGCAGAAAACCAAACTCACTGTTGTTGAGTCGATTCTGACTCCTAGCGACCCTGTAGGACAGAATAGAAATGCCCCATAGGGTTTCCTAGGCTGTAATCTTTATGGGAGCAGATCTCCAGTTCTTTCTCCCACAGAGCCACTGGATGGATTTGAACAGCCAACCTTTTGGTTGACAGTTGAGCCCTTAACCATTGCACCGCTAGGGATCCCTCCATAAAAGCTGTTTACCCCTACAACACAGGAAGCTTCCTGAAGGCAGGGACTATGTCTTGCATATCTTCTTTCAAAAAAAAAATTTTTTTTAACCTTTTTTATAAAAACAACATATGTTCATTTAACATAGTTTATGAAACACAGTCAAGTAAAATGGAGCAGATTAAATTCACCTGAAATCCCACCACCCAGGTCTGTATTTCCCTTTAACTTACTGCTGTGTATCTTCCTATTTAACCACACAAAGGCGTGCTTTCTTGTTAACTTGGACAAAAATGGCGTCATCTCGCAACATGGATTTCTCCGTTTCCTGCGTATTTCTTGGCATGGTGCATCGTATTAAGTGTTCACTGAAAATGTGTTGACTCTCAAGACTTGCTTTTTACATTTAGACAACAGAATTTTTAAATGACTCACCCAGAGGGGGCTGATTGTGTGCATTTGAATTACTGCCTTTGAATCAATGACTGACTAATCGTGTATCCTACTAAGGAAATGAGTTACTTGACCACTAATGACTTGGTGTTTTGGAAATCTCTACCCACTCAATACATGGGAAGCCCAGCATAAATGTGCATCCATCAGTAGCACAAAGTCGCTTTCAGCATTGAGGAAGCTTGGTGGCTCGTTGGATGTTTATGAACCAATACCGAGGGTTTGGCTGCAAATCTTTTCCTCAGAGAAGTGATAAAAGACCTCCTTTATCACTTCAGTGTTCAGAGAATGTTATGGGAGAGTAGCATTATTGTAAGTAAGTTTTTTTCCCCTCTGCTGAGCTTAATAGTTAAGAAGACATTTGATTTTACATTAAGTTATAAAATCGCTCATTTTGCCTCTTCTACATCGAATACCAGCGCATTGCCTTGTATTGAAGGTCAGCGTTTGGAACAATCAGTTGTTAATGCATTCAGGCTGAATGCACATTTCTTTGTTCTACATTAGTAGGAAAAAAAAATCTACTTAAAAATGCTGACATTGTTTACCAATAAAAACCCATACTTTTCAGCTATTTATCGCAAGATAAGGAAAGTTTGATTTGCCATATGCTTTTTTCCTGAATGTTGTCACACTTCTTACAATTCCGTTCTAAAATATATGAGAAAAACAGTGCAGTTTAACTCTTGCGCTTGGCAAGACGTCATTTCTAGCCAGCTTGGAGGGTGCAAATAATTCCTTAGGCAAAGCACCCCAAGCTCAGTTGGTCTTACCCTCTCTAAACTTGTTTTTACTCAAATTCCACACTCAAGTATATTGGGCCTTTTAATCCTTGAATTAGGAGTTGAGACTTTTGTTCCAGAGCTATTTGAACTCAAAACAGTGTGGTTATTCTGAGAGAGGTGCGGCCCTTGGTGTGAGTTTCATGCTGAGGAGGACAGGTGCAGTAGTGAGATGGACATTGGTCTGGTCCTGGAGCCAAGAGCTCAAGTCCACGATGTGACACTGGGCAAGTTGCCTCACCTCCCTGTACCTGGTGATGAATCCAGGGAGGTTGACTCAGATAGTGTGGGAGGTTTGGGGGAGTTCGCTGACTATTGAATATTTGGGAAAAAAAAAAAGTTAGCCTCTTAGCTTTGTCTAATAAGACTATTAAAAACAAACATACAGAAGTAATGTTGTTAGGTGCCATTGAGTCAGTTCCGACTCATAGTGACCCCATGTACAACGGAAGGCAACACTGCCCTGTCCTGCGCCATCCTCACAATCGTTGTTATGCTTGAGCCCATTGTTGCAGCCACTGTGTCAGTCCATCTCACTGAGGGTCTTCCTCTTTTGCTGACACTTACTTTCCCAACATGATGTCCTTCTCCATAATGACATGAAAAATGATGGTAGTATTACTTCTGTATGTTTTTTAACACCAAGAAAGTAGGAAATCCTCTAAGAATAAAGGACAGTCCCTTACGTTGGATAAATTGAGCCCTGAAAAATTCAGTGCATTGTTTCTTTTTGTCCTTTTTGCCACAGATACAGGAAAACTCTTATCATATAGATCCATGGACAGGCATTTGGGAACCAGTGAACCAAAAGATCTGTTGGGTTCCTTCTGTCTGTCACTCATATTCTGTTAAATAAGATGATGTTCCTTTTTTTTAAGTATTTTTTGCTGTTATAGTCTTGTGTCTCCATACACTTTGAAAATTAACCTTAGGCCCTACCTTCCCAGCCAAAGACTATGTGGAAATAGGCAATTATCTGAATCACTTTTTTCAAAGGCACACTTGAATTATGTAGCAGGGAATGGGAGTGATTGTCTGAGTTACCTGGAGAAGTGTCCTCAACCCAGTAGGAGACCTGCGCTCTCAGGGACATAGCTGAGGTCTCGATGGACCCAGCCAGGTGGAAAAGGCAGGCTGTTGAACAATTAGGCCAGGCTCTCTTTCACCTGAAGTAACTAAAATGTGTTTGTTTTCTTTAAATTCTCTTGTCTCAATCCTTCTGAATTAGACAAGTTTCAAGCCTGTCAGCATAGAAACAGGCCACATTACCCATTTCAAACCAAGCTTTATTTTTCAGGAATCCTCCCAAATAATACTGTCCTTGAGAACCCTGCTGGGAAATTTAGGGAGCAGCTGCAGCTTTCCCTCCTCATTGTAACCTGAGTCATTGATTCAGGATTGACCTAGAATAATCAGGGAGAGGTTTTCTTTTTCCTCTGAGTGTCTTCTTAATGGGCCCTACTTTTTGATTTTATGTAATCCATTCAGTGAACGTCAATACTTTGGAAGATGTCTCCTCATGGAGCAGATTATTGACAGTGAAAAAATGTTGGTTACTATAGGAGGTCATATGCAGCCGCGTCCATATTTACTGGGCAACCAAGGGCTTTGTTGTAGGAAGGGATTCATGGGGAGATGAGCCCTTTAGCTCACGTCTCAGGACATCTCTTTGTTCTTTGTATGTTGTCATCAGTTTGTCTAGGACAAGGTGGCGTTAACAGCAGATGGAGAGATCTTATTTGCCCAAGTTCCCTTTTACCTGGGGAGAGGTGTAGGCATAGACTTTCTCCCCATTTGAAATGAGGACAGTTACAGCAGCGTTGCATTCCTTAAAAATGTGGTGAACCACAAGAATCAGTGTATGTGTTTAGCATGTAATCAGAATGAGGGCCAAACCTCATTCATTTAGTTTTGATTGAGTCCCTACCATGTACAGGAATACTAAAAAAATCCAACCAAGGAAGATAGATTTTTGAGTACTCAAAAAAATCACAAGATTGTATACCAATGTTCATTTCAGCACTATTCACCACAGCCAAAAGGTAGAAACAACCTAAATGTCCATTAACAGATGAATGAGTAAACAAAATATGGTCTGTACATAAAATGGAATAATACTCAGCCAAAAAGAGAAATGAGGTTCTGGTGCACACACAACATGGATGAACCTTGAAAGCATTATGCTGAGTGGAATAAATCGGTCAGAAAAGGACAAATATTATATAATCCCACTTAAATAAAGTATGTAGACTAGGCAGATGCATAGAGAGCAAAGTTTCTTAGTGGTTACCAGGGGCAGGTGGGATTGGAAATGGGCAGTTATTATTCAGGGTCACTGAGTTTCTCTTGATGGTGGTCGAATAATTTGGAGAAGGGTAGTGGTGGTGGTTATACAGCACGATGCATGTCGTCAGTGTCACCGAATCGTACATGTAAAAAGTATTCAATTGGCAGATGTTTTGTTGTATATATTTATACCACAATGGAAAAAAGAAGTAAAATTATCTCTATTCACAGATGATATGATCCTCTATATAGAAAATTCCAAAGAGTCCCCAGAAAACTTCTAGAGCTAATAAAGGAATTGAACAAAGGTGCAGGGTACAAGATCAACAAACAAAAATTAATTGGATGTCTCTATACTAGCAATGAGAAATCTAGATGGGAAATTAGGGAAATAATTCCATTTATAATAGCGTCTGAGAGAGTGGAATACCTAGGAATAAATCTAACGAGGGACGTGAAGGACTTATACAATGAAAACTGTAAAACGCCGCTGAAAGAGATCAAAGCAGACTTAAATATACGGAAAGAGGCTTCACGTTCATGGATTGGAAGACTTAAATATTGCTAAGATGTCTGTACTACCCAAAACGATCTGTAGATTCTCCAAAATCCTGATCAAAATCCCGACATCCTTCTTTACAGAAATAGAAAAACCAATCCTCAACTTTATATGGAATGGCACACAAAAACAAAAAACCAAACCCATTCCAACTCATAGCAACCCTGTAGGACAGAGTAGAATGCCCCATAGGGTATGGAATGGCAAGAGGCCCCAAACAGCTAAAGCAGTGTTGAAAGAGAAGAACAAGGTAGGAGGGTTCACACTGGCCATCTTGTAGTTTTATGAATCTAGCAACTCTGCCAATAATAATAGTAAAACAACAGTACCTGCTTGAAAGACTCTGTAGCTTGTAGATTAAGAGTGCATACTTTGGATCCATACTACATGGATCTGAATCATCGCTCTGCCACTTAGTAACTTGTAACTTGGGCAAGTTTTTAAATTTCTTTATGCCTCAGTTTCCTCATGGTAACAGGATAAATAACAGTAACAAGTTACTGTTGAGTGCTCAGATGAGTACTGTATAAACATGTAAAGTGTACATGTAGTGTTAGTTTTGGTTAATGCACTTGACTGCTAACTGGAAGTCTGGAGACTCAAGTCCAACCAGATGCACCTTGGAAGACAGCCCTGGCCATCTCCTGAAAAATCAGCCATTGAAAACCCTGCGGAGCACAGTCCTGCTCTGACGCACATGGGGTCGCCATGAGTCAGAATCGACTCAACAGCAACTTTTTTTTAATAGAGCCCTGGCTGCAACGTCATGCGTGTTGGTTATCTATGTAATACTTTGTTCTAAATTTCACCTCAAAAAAATTAGGCTACTGGTGTGTAGTGTGGCTTGCCGCGTCTGCCTTTGGCAATTGGAGCTACGTCTGCCGATCCCCACCCAGACTCTTGGCTCTTCCTCCGTTAGTGATCTGCGGCTGTGATCCACTGTCCCATCTGCATTTTCTCTTAATGCCATGGCCTGAGCTATTTGGATCATTGCTTTTGTCTTTATTTGTAATCTTTTAGAAAACACTTGGACAATAATTGTGAATTCTTGATAACATCTGCTTACTTAATTTGAAGAATATGTAGCTAACAAGATTGATGATGGACCTTAACTGGGTTTAAATTCAGACATACATAGGATCTGTACTAATCTCAGTCAACCCTTTCAAGCAGATGCCATATTTCGGGGAAAAAGAAATTGAAATGTACCAAGGAGCGGTAAGTTGTATCCCACATAAATTACTGGGCTTTTGTGATGCATGTGGGTTTTTTTTCTTGAAGTTAGCGTTACATTTGCACTTTCTTGTTATTAATTATTTATTGGGGAAGTGCAAGTAAGTGATATTGTTTGGTTTTTAATGATGTATCACTGTCTAGAGTGCAGCTCACAAAGCCGTAGGACTATCTTAGTATCTGAACTTCATTTATGTACAGAATTAGTTAAATAGGACCTACAACCTGCAGCCTGAGGGGTCTTCCTGCTTCCACCTATGCCATAAAAGTCTAAGGAATAAAAACCAGTAAGAGGTAAAAAAAAAATAAATCTAGTGATGGGAACATTCTCTCAGAGTTAGACCCTTAATTAAGCTGTGGCTAAGGCTTGAACGTGAAAAATGAATCTTTTATTACTTCATCTACTAATCCGACCCTGGCCCTACTTAAACCCAATTCCCAAGCCTTGGTGGTGGTGTCATAAAAATAGAAACCGTAATCCTAATGAATCTATTTCCTCCCTTCGTTCATCCCTCACCCAGGCCTCCCTGTCTCCTGCATCTCCTTCCTTCCTTCTTCCTTCCCTCTTTCCTTTGCAGCAGAAACACAAGCGTGCTCATTAATCCTGACCCCTGGAAAGCACACAAAAGAGAGCCCACACACATTCATCAGTTGAAGTGGAAGGCAATTTACCCAGAGCAAGAGCCCACCCCATTGTTGCCAGATGAATGGTGCTGGTCGCTGGAGCCCAAGGGGGCTGCCACGCGAGAAGCCTTTGATAATGCTGCCTTTATGGGGGCCCAGCACAAGGGAGCACTGTCAGCTGAGGCTGGCCCTGCCCTGGCCCCCCGGCCCCCCATCAGCAGGGCCCGGGCAGCCACCGTGGGTAGATGGAAGCGGGCGTGTGTGTGTTGTTTCCTTCCAGATTTTTGAAGAGGATTGTTGCATGTGGGTCCCTTTCAGGCTGTCCCTCTATTGAAGAGTTCTCACTGCAGAAA